AGGAATGATTGCAGAGAAGTACTTAGCTTTATTTTATGGTCCATCAAGGAGCCTGAAGGTTTTATGCCTGAATAAGCATCGCCATATCTAACTTGGTAAGAAGGAAATACGGCAAACGATGCCGGGAATACACAGCAGAGAAGTAACTATTTGAACAAGATGTCAAACTGCTATTTCACGGGAACCTAGCGTAGTTTACGATCGCCAATAATAATAACGGCTTATTAAAAGCAATAGGTAAAGTCCCTTTAGAAATTAAAAAGGAGTTATGCTCCCGAGAACACGCGGATTTCTCTTTGTGAGCGCGAGTCCACCTGTGCCATCGGCATTGGAACCGTTGCAATGAAATGAAAAGTATAAACATATCTTTTAATGAAAAGAGGGATCGGCTCTAGAACAAAAATTTATCATTTAATTCCCCCCCCCCCCCCACCCCCAAGTATTTGCCTCAGGGTGGGACACAGATGATCTTTGTTACCTGTCTTACTTGTGTCCTGCAGTAAACGAGATGCTTTATAAAACCAGTTCCTGTAAGATTTCATTTCTCCGTCACCCCGCCCCCCCCCCAATTCTTTCCCTGTGTCTACATAAGAACCTTTGAAAATAGAAATCTGAGGGATGCACCACCATCATTTATAAAACCAGCAGCCCAAATTCTTCAACCATTAATTTGGTTTGTAGTTTTCTAAGTCGGTATAGTATCCACAGAACTTATCTATGGATGAGGCGTATGTACAGCGTATGCCTTCTAGGGGAAAAGGGTATCGATTTTTAAAGTATTTTAAATAAAGCATAGTTTCTTCAGATGAATCTATGCCAAGGAATCTATGCCAATTGTTGTTTAGTTTATTTTGGAGTAAAATAATAAATATGTCATAGTCAGTACGCCTTGACCCCACCATTGAGTTTCAACCTGTGTGTTCATGTCACGGTACATGTGTGGGACGATTTTGCATTTCCTCTCTCCCCTTAAAGACAAATAGCCTGTCTTTGTTGTTCCCCTTTAAGGTAAAACTATATAAAGTGTTTTCAAACCATGCAAGTCATTGCCTCGGGTTGGTTAAAACATTTACTTTTTGAAAAGGAGGAAGTACCCCTGTTTGTAAAATATTTCTTGTAGTTGTACCTCTTAAAATAAACAGTTTACTTTGCTATGGTACATACCAATCTACTTCATTAATTTTTTCCCCAGAACTCATTTTACCATGTTTGGTCAAACCTTTCATGATAAATTAATATAGAACAATTTTAAAATAAAATTAGTATATAATTTTATTTTCCACGTGGCCTCAGCTAGTTGCAGAATAATGCTACCTCTATGGGAGGGGGGGCAATTTGATAGTTTATGTAGACTATAAAGTCTTTGCAAATGCTCAGTGCCTCCTGGCTAATGTGTTGTCAAATGTGTTTTAAAGGAAGCAGTTAGAAGAAAAACTCACTCCTGGTTCTAAGTTATTAAAATGCCTCCTAAGGTAGCATTTTTAATTAGTGTGCATAATTGATGACTGGTTTATCTTCTCCTGAGCATAAAGCAGCAGGGCAGAGTCAAGTGCAGCTGGTGAAGTGTAAGGTCTTAGGGATTGGTGGTGACAGCGGTCGTGACAACTAAATGGCTTATTCTCTCCCTGAGATCCGGCCATCGGTCTGAACTTCCTGTGCTCTGCGCAATGTAGATGCAAAGGACGTGGACGAATCAAGGGCTCGAGAGGTTTAAATACACGTTGGATGCTGCTATTTATAGATGCCGGTATTTTTCCAATTACCATTCTCAGTTGTCATTCAGAAGACTAGGCGCTTCTTGATCATCAGTTTTAAATGCCTAGTAGTAGAATATTACCAAACATTTTCTGTTTTAATCAAAATATAGAAAAAAATCAGTTTTATATGTTGACTTTTTTTTTTTCTAAAATGTCCTTATTGGGTGGCATGAAGGTTTACACCTGAAAAGGTGGTCCCCAGGAAGACTCCCTTCTCTACCACGGAGATTCTCCCAGCATCATTAGAGTAGGTTACGGCCACTGTGTAATGTGACCGTGTTATATTTGGGGGAGGAAAAAGGCTTGACAAGTATATATATATATTTTAATTCTCGATATTCAGTGCCTCTGGAATAGAACACTTTCTCCTCAACCAATCTATTAGCTCAAAACTCACATACAAGAAACAGTTGCCTTCGCTGGCAGAGCATGTGCGACGTGTTTAAATATTTGATTTCTGTACAGAAGGTTGCCATCCAGTTTCCACGGACTCCTTACGTTGGAGGAGACTGTATACTGGGGAGGTGCCCTGCCATCGGGGAGTTCCTGCTGTGGCCTCTGCGGTGGCTGTGGAGGGCGGAAGGGGATGACCCCCTGTGGCCCACAGGCCTGGGCGCACAGTGAAGGGGAAGGGGTGTGGCTGGCCCCCGAGGCCGCCCTCAGCCAGGGACCTGGGGAGGTTCGCAGAGGCTGGGGCCACTTGTGCAAACTGCTGTGCGTCGCACTCTTGTGAGCAGCCCAGTTTGTACTTCATCCACTTCTCTAGCTGTTACTAGGAATCCAAGTGCCATGTACATGATGGACCCTGAAGCTCAGGTCGCAATATGGCAGCCAGTTTACGAGGCTAGAGTGTTTATATGTTATTTTTATTTTGAATGAAACTCTATAGTTGGAGATAATTATAGATTTCACATGCAGTTGTAGTAAATGACGGAGAGATCCCTTGTACCCTTTCCCCAGTTTCCCCCAATAGTGACATCTTACAATAGATAGTGCAATATCGCACCCTGGACATCGACACCTGGGGAACAGCTCCATCGCCTCAAGCATTCCTCATATCCCCCCGACATCTGTACTCACTCCTTTCCAACACCCCTGCCTCACCCTAGCAACAGCTAGTCCGTGCTCCAGTTCTATAATTTTGTCTTTCCAAGAATGTCACATAAGCCCTAACTGATTTGGCTCAGTGGATAGAGCATTGGTCTGCGGACCGAAGGGTCCCAGGTTCGATTCCGGTCAAGGGCAGGTACCTGGGTTGCCGGCACATCCCCAGTAGGGGGTGTGCAGGAGGCAGCAGATTGATGTCTCTCTCTCATCCATGTTTCTAGCTCTCTATCCCTCTCCCTTCCTCTCTGTCAAAAATCAATAAAATATATTTTTTTTAAAAAAAGAATGTCACATGAATGGCATCATCTAGTGTGTGATCTTTTGGGATTGACTTTTCTCACTCTGCACAATTTTCTCGAGATTCCACTTGCAGATACCAATCATTTGTGCAGTATCCCATGGTGTGACCGGCCCATGGTTGGTGTAACCACTCACCAGTATCCCATGGTGTGACCGGCCCATGGTTGGTGTAACCACTCACCAGTATCCCATGGTGTGACCGGCCCATGGTTGGTGTAACCACTCACCAGTTGGGACAGGGTCGTTTCCAGTTTTTGACTATTATAAATAAAACTCCTGTAAACATTTGTGTATAGGTTTTTTTGTGTGAACATAAGTTTTCATTTTTTCTGGGAGAAATGCCCAAGAGTGCGATCGTGGTTCCTATAATTGCACAGAGCATTTCTTTTTGGGACTAGAATTGAAGTTTTATGTGTGGCAGGGAGGACGGAGGGCATCCACGTTTTTGCAGTGTTTTTGCTGTAACTGGATTTGTTTAGGATTTTAAAACATGCAGACTATCACAAATAGCTTTAGCCAGATACAAAAAAATACAATTTTTCACAACATAGATGTTTTTCCTGATTTTTATAAAAATACTTCTTTAAAAATTGCTTTTTTTTTTTAAGTGGCCTCATAAAAATGAGGCCTCCAAAAATTAGACAGGAACTCGCTAGTAAGCACCCGAAGTGAAACCAAACTATAAAAAATTGCTTTTTTCTTGGAGGTAAATAATTCCTACGTAAGGGAAATAACAGTAGACATAGACTATAGAAAAGATGTTGTAAAGATGACAGGATACGTGGAGAAATTCAGGGGAAATTTCCCAAGCGTTAATAAAGACTTGACATACCGAAACCGGTTTGGCTCAGTGGATAGAGCGTCGGCTTGCGGACTGAAAGGTCCCAGGTTCGATTCCGGTCAAGGGCATGTACCTTGGTTGCGGGCACATACCCAGTAGGGAGTGTGCAGGAGGAAGCTGATCGATGTTTCTCTCTCATCGATGTTTCTAACTCTCTATCTCTCTCCCTTCCTCTCTGTAAAAAATCAATAAAATATATTAAAAACAAATAAAGACTTGACATTCGAGGATACGTTGCGATAGTTTCAGAATTGATGGACTCTAGCTTTTGTTGCCGTCATCTTTCCTGCCGTTTTTATTTGTAGAATCAATTAATTATCTTTAATTCACGAAGGTGTGTTCAGTGCTGTTGCATTTAATGCTCATTTAATTCAACTCTATGCACTTAGTAGGCAAAAGAAATAAATTATTTTCTTCCTCGTACATAGCCCCTAAAAATACAACTACTTTACAGGAGATTTAATGGGAGAAACAGCTCTGTTCCAAATCCTGGTTGAAATTATCCTGTTACCTTATAGCTGCGGAGACATAGTGAGTGGGTACAAAATCACCTGTGCTCTGTTTTCGGGGAGACCCACTGACAGGATATTCAAGGGTGATTTTACTCTGATTTCTCGCCATAGAGATTGTCTTTAGAACTCTCGTGGAGGAGGCCGCTCCATTCTTTAAAAAGAAACCTCTGCTGCAGTTAGCCGGTTACAATGATCCTTCTAATACCAGTCAATATTATCAACCTTTAACTTGTGTGAGTGAGGCACTGGGCTCAGGGGACCCCCAGCTTTCAGTACTTCCAACTGTTATTTCATCTTTAGCCCATTATGGTAAAGACCACAGTGACATAAGTGACATAAAATCATCAAAAAATCCTTGTCCTTAAGAACGACCCGGTAGAAGATAGAACAGACACATGGACTCTTTCTGTACCAGCAGTCATTTACCCTGACAGCTATCGAAGCACCCCATTATCAGGCAGTTCCAGGCGCGGGGAACCTGACGGTAAAGGAGCAGTCCCCCCACTGTCCTCTTTGCAGGGTCCTCAGAGGTCTTAGCTTGGGCAGTGGGGAGGGGAGGGGACAAAGAAACGGAGATAGAGACCCACACGGGTGTGCTTTCTAGAAAGGCAGAACCTTCAGAATTCAGGAGAGAGAGTGGGGGAGCCTGCACTGCTGGGGTGGGCCTCTCACAAAGCGGCAGGCTGGCCTTTTGAAGAGCGCGTATGCGATAGGGAGGATGGGGAGGACTGCAGGTGGGAAGAGGGACCTGAGCCTGAGGGAGGGGCGTGCTTGTTGGAAGTGGGGTACATCTGGTCTGGCTAGGCCTTCCTGAGGCATCGCAGGGAGAGGTCATGGCCCGGGTATATTTAACAGCTTCCGACGTGTTAGAGAACTCACCAGAAATGAGGCTGATTGTTTGGGCATGCTTTTTTGGGGGGGCGTGGGGGAGGGGGCGGGAGTAATATTTGAATTTTAGTATGTGGGTTTGAGTGAAAAAACTAATGGGTGCTCTTTCTCCTGAAAGTGGGGCTTGGACGTATCCTTTAGGTTATGAGGCTCGATCTGTTTGAGTGTGTGAAACAAAATATGATTTTCCTCTTTTTATATGTAATGACAAATATATTTTATACTTTTCTAGTATCTTAAATGCATAATCTGTAAGACTATAGTCCTTTATAAAATTTTAGTTTATTTTAGGCTTAAAATAACATTAGCACTTAAAGTCCTTTTGAAGAACTCCAAAGTTAAAACTGCAAGATGACATAGAGATAAAAAGTTGCACAAAGCATACATGTGTGAGCTCAGAGGTAGACCTGATGGCCTTACTAAAAACTATTTTGAGCATCCTAAGAAAATACAAGTATTTCTGTGCATTTGTTTTAACTGTTCAAGGTAGTAAGAGAGCTAAGAGCCTTTTCTAAATACGCATCTAATTTTAGGTGGCTAAAATAGGAAGCTATAATATGACGGAGGCCCCTTTTGCTTGGGAACTTGGAAAAAGAAAGAGACAGGATCTATTATAGTTTCTTTCAATGTATATGAATCATAGAGCGACCACGCTGGTAATAAAGACAGTATAATCAAGATAACTCAGGATTTTCTGTGTCATAATATTGATTCCCGCATCTCCAACTTGATGGCATTGCCAATGTGGAGGCCCAGTGAATTGTGTTTTGTGAAAGAGCTACATTAGGTCGGCAACTTAGACGTGCTGAGTAAATATAATGACCTAGCATTGTGGAATCAGCTTGTAGTACTGTTTATGTAGCAGTTAAAAAAAAAAAAAAAGAAAGAAAAAAGAAAACAGTGCAATTTTAGACAGTTTTAAAAAAATTTTTGCAAATATTGCAAATCATAGGTTGGTTACCAGTAGACTTCCTGACTCTGCCCTGATTGCTGTCCGCTCTGTATGTTCTTTTAAGATGCCAGGCACTTTATAATTTTGTCTATAATTGTTTATATATATTTTCTCCACAAAATGCCCTTAGAACAACTTACTCCTAAATTTTCTTAACCCACTTGTCATCTTTAACCTCTGTGGATGAATACACTACAGTGTCTGTGGCAAGACACATTCGTCGTCTATTTTATTTTATTTTTCCAGGAGCCTTCCTATTCAAAATACCTTTTAGATTCAATGCATGAAAACAGCAGGCCGCGTCGCCTGCCTGCGGGCTTGTGAAGCTGGGGGAGACTTGCTTTTCCACACGAAGAGGCTGAGTCCCCGGCCGATGAAATGACTTGCTAGTGAGTGATAATGAGGATCTTCTGACTCCAGAGCACCTGCTGCCAACTTGAAGGTGCGTGTCCCCAATTCTGGAAATTCCGTTTGCAGATACTTGTCGCACAGCCCTATTCTTAGGCATATTCTACTCTAATATTCTACGTATGGCAGAAAGAAAGGCCTGCTGTCATCTCTCCATGTCATATAAACGTGTTGGCACTGAACGTAGGTGCAAGTAGCAAATTCAAGTGTGTTAATCTCGGAACTGAATTGTAACCCATAGACTGTTCGTTCCATGTGCTCGTTATCGTTTGAGCATACCTGCTGATCCCCCTCCTTTATCGCTCTGCGCCTCTTCGTTCTTCGGCCCTCCACAACATTTCGTCTTGGTACGTGGCACCACTCTTGCCCTAGCTACCAAATTGGGTCAGTGTTACTCTCAGAGCTTCTCACAGGCCACATGAGTTCTACCTTCTGGAACCTCCCAAACCACACACCTTGGCCTGTTCGCAAGAGATACTTGGATATACAGGGTGGAGGAAACAAAGTCTTTGTACTTGAAAGGCCGCAGTCCACAGTGGGGCAAAAAGTGGGGCCCATGGACTGTGACGGGCCACAGACTTTTAAAAAATAGTCTTTATTTTTATAGTAGTTTGGGGTTCACAGTAAAACAGCAGAAAGTGCAGAGGTTTTCCATATACCTCCTGCCCCACACATGCTAACTTCCTCACTACCAACATCCCCAACCAGAGGGGCGCATTTGTGACAGTTCGTTGTCACTCAAAATCCGAAGTCTCCGTCAGGTTTCACTCTTGGTGTTGTACATCCCATGAGTTTGGACAAATGTATAATGACACGTATCCACCATTAGAGTATCATAAAGAATAGTTCTGCTCTAAAAATCCTTTATTTTCTGCCTGTCCATCCCTCCCTGCCCACAAACTGTTGGCAACCAGTGATACTTTTATCTTTCTCCATAGTTTTGCCATTTCTAGAATGCCATATAATTGGAATCACGCAGGGTGTAGCCTTGTTCAGATGGGATTCTTTCACTTAGTAATATGCATTTAAAGTTCCTCCATGTCTTGTCATGGCTTGATAGTCTACTTCTTTTTAGGGCTGAATAATGTTCCATTGTCTGGATGTAACACAGTTTATCCATTCACCTAATGATGGACATCTTGGTTGCTTCCAAGTCTTAGCAATCTGTAATAATAAAAGCGTAATATGCTAATTAGGCCAGATAGCTGAATGACCTTCCAGACGTCCTTCCGGATGTCCTTCTGGATGTCCTTCCAGATGAAGCCGCGGCTGCGAGGGCCGAGCTCCTTGCACAGATTTTGTGCATCGGGCCTCCAGTTATCAATAAAGCCGCTATAAACAGGTTTTTGTGTGGGTAAAAGTTTTCAACTCATTTGGGTTATAAACCAAGAAGCACGATAGATTGCCGGATCATATAGACTTTGTTGTTCAGATATTCAATACACATGATTACTTATTTCTTTGTTTCTTTTTATCAGTCAAGAGAGGTGTTAGAATCTCCCACTGTGAGGGGGTTTATCACATAAGCCTTTATTTCTTTCTTTACCTACGCTCACACTTTCTTTATGTAGAGATGAGTTTCTGAATTATATCATTTTTCTTCTCTCTAAACAATTTTTAACATTTCTTGTAAGACAGGTCTATCAACAAATTCTCTCAATTTTTGTTTTTCTAAGAAAGTCTTTATTTTTCCTTCATTTTTGAAGGATAAAATTTTAGGGTACAGAATTTTAGATTGGTAAGTTTTTCTCTTTCAACTCAAGTATTTCACTCCATTCTGCTTGCATGATTCTAAGAAGTCAGATGTAATTTTTATCTTGATTTCTCTGGTTTCTTTCAGAATTTTAAAAAAAATCTTTATCTCTGCTTTTCTGCAATTTAAATATGATATGCCTACATTAGTTTTTGTGGGGTTTTTTTTTTTTTGGCATTTACCCTTCTTCTCAATTTCCTGGATCTGTGGTTTTGTATCTGACATTAACTTGAGGAAATTCTCTGTCATTATTGCTTCAAATATTCTGTTGCTTTCTTCTACTTCTGGTATTCTCACTATGCATATGTATAATTTTTGTACTTACCCCCAGTTCTTAGATATTCGTTCTTTTTTTTCCCCAGTCTTTTTTTTTTTTTAATCCTTTCAGCATCAGAGGTTTCTACTGAGATATCTTCAAGCTCAGAGATTCTTTCCTCAACCAGTGTCTAGTTTACTAATAAGCCCATCAAAGGCATCCTTAATTTCTGTCACAGTGTTCTTGATCTCCAGCATCTTTATTTCTTCTTAGAATTTCTATCTCTCTGCTAACATTGCCCATCTGTTCTTGCATGCTGTCTACTTTATCCGTTAGACTTCTCATCATAGTTGTTTTAAATTCCTGGTCTGAGAATTCCAGCATCCCTGTCGTATCTGAGTCTGGTTCTGAATCTTGCCCTGTCTCTTCAGACTCTGTTTTTCACCTCTTAGTATGTCTTCAGGCTTGTTCTCGGTAGCCAGACGTGATGTCCCGTGTGAAAGGAACGGCTGTAAGCAGGCCTTTAGTTATGTGGTGACAGGGCGCGGTGGGTGGGAGGCATTGTTAGCCTTACGATGGGTCTCAGACTTCTGGTGAGCCTGGACCTCTTGCCCGAACCTCAGAAGCGCTTCTCTGGCACCCCCACTCCCCTTCGGTGGGACAGGGTGGCGGACGGGGGCCTGGAGTGGCCTGTGCCCCTTCTCTGTGTGGAAGGCTGGAGCCAGCTAGGAGTGGCCCTTTCTCTTCCCGCAGGCCACTGGGGCTCCATACAACCCCCGCAGGCCAGGCGAGGTGCTGTTAAAATAGTTTCTCCCCAGAGTGTACCCTGCTGAGAAGGACAGAAGGACAGAATGCGCTGGCCCTTTTTAAAGGATTCCTTTTCCTCTCCACCTGCCTGGAGCTCGGTGGGAGGGTGGGGGGGATTTTTCTCTGCTCTTCACTGTGAGAAGCTGGCTGAACTCCTTAGGGGGGAAACTCACAGAAGTGTGGGACCCCCCTAGGACTGCATCCCCTGGAGCCTTGGTCGGCAAACTGTGGCTCGGGAGCCACATGCAGCTCTTTGGCCCCTTGAGTGTGGCTCTTCCTAAGCCTTAGGAGGACCCTAATTAAGTTAATAACAATGGACCTACCTATATAGTTTAAGTTTAAAAAATGTGGCTCTCAAAAGAAATTTCAATCGTCGTACTGTTGATATTTGGCTCTGTGGACTAATGAGTTTGCCGACCACTGGCCTGGAGTATTTCACTCTCAGAGCTGTCCACGCGGAGCCTCCAGCAATTCCTCAATTACAGGGTCTGCTCTCCCACCCGGGCACTGGTCCCCGTGCAGCTAACTTGGGAGTCTCGGTCCGCACCTATCTGTCTGTCCAACTGGGGAGGCAGCGGTTTGCCCTGTGGCCTCCTCTCACCGATCTAAACCGGTTTGTTGGTTTTCCAGTTTGCTCCCCGTCACTGGCTGTTAGGGTGGGGCGGTGGGGCCTGACTTCCCAGCTCCTTACCTGTCAGACCAGAAGCTGGAAGCCCACAAACCGGTTTGTTTTTAAAATCAGCCCCTGACAAGATAAATGCCCCAAATAAGAGAAAGCATTTGGAAACTGAAATAGCGCTTTTATTTTTTCCGTGACATCCAGGCACCTGAGTTTGTACTTTACAAAACGATTGGTCCCCGGAAATTGGAATTTGGAAACAAAGCAAAACAACAAACACTTGGTCCTTCACTGCCGATGGGCGGAGAAGTGTGGGACTAGCAGGCAGTCAAGAAATGAGCATTGGGGGAGGGAACGGTACCATTTTTTTTTCTTTATTTTATTTTATTGGCTAAAATTTTACATATGTCTCCTGTTTCCCCAATTGACCACCCCGGGCAAGTCCCCACCACCCCAGTGTCTATGTCCACTGGTTATATGCATGCATACAAGTCCTTTGGTTGCTCTCTAACCCCTCCTCCCCTACCATTTGTCTCTAGATCGATCTATTCTTGTTCATCAAATTATGTTGCTCATTATATCCCACATATGAGTGAGATCATGTGATATTTATCTTTCTCCGACTGGCTTTTTTCGCTTAGCATAATGCTCGCCAGTTCCATCCATGCTGTTGCAAATGGTAAAAGTTCCTTCTTTTTTACAGCGGCATAGTGTTGTAATTTTCTTTATGAGACCGGCAGGTGAGTCCCCCCAAGAGAGAAGGTCAAACTGCCCGGAGTGCAGGGGAAGGATGACCTGGGGTGTTCAGAGCCAACGTGGTGGGCGGGCAGAGCAGCAGGTGGGATTGCAGAGACCTCTCTGCCCCAACTCCCTGGCCCCTGCTGTCAGAAACATCTTCCTAAAATGGAGGTCTGATCAAATCGCAGCCTGTTTGAACCCTTTAGCGACACCCTTCTGCCTGACGCTTCTCAGCTTCTCGGTGCCATTCCCGGGCCGCTCACCACCTGATCGGAGGACCCCTCCAGCTCCATTCCTACCGCCCCAGCGGCTGGCCGTGGGCCCTTCTCTCTCGGCAGCTGGTTTGACTAGAGACCCCAGCACAGGCTGCCGCCTCCACACCTGCCTGCGTCTCCTGCCTCCCCTGTTTGGAAGGCCTTCCCTCCTCTCAACCTCTCCTGGCGAAACCCCCCACTTCCTTTAGCAGCGCCTTCCTTGTGGCTTTCCTGCACTTGACATCAAAGGCACAGGCGGCAGGCCCAGACGCTCAGCCAGTGTTGCATGAACATGGAGTCAGAGAGGGAGCCTACACTAGGTCACAACAACCCTGACCACCCACGGCCCTGCGTCTTCACTGGGCATCTCACACCTCGAAGGAGAGGGTGTGTTTCCGGCCTGGAGGTAGAGTCGTTACCAAGTGACACTGAAACCGGCACCTGGGCATCACAGGATTGGGGGAGAGGCTAGGGGTCAGGGGAAGTGGCTCCCCAGGTTAGAGGCAGATTCCTGGGGTCCCTATCCTGCTCAGAGAGAGTCAGTCCCGCAAAAGCAGGGCTTGGCGAACTTCTTTAAAGGGCCGTGGAGTGAGTATTTTCGGCTTTG